GGTGACCCTGCTTCGGCAGGGGGTTGGACTGGGTGACCCACAGAGGTCCCTTCCAACCCCTACTATTCTGTGATTCTGTGATTCTGTGAAATTCTGAGTGGTATTGATCAGGAGAATGGTTGCATTAAAACCTAGGCCACACGGGTAAAGCAGCACTTCACGGCACAAAGACTGGCCTAGAAACAGAGAATATCCACTGCAAGTAACGATTTACATAACACAGCCATGAGAACAAATAAAACCACACTGTGACCAGCGACCCGGCAGGCAGCTAAACACCACACAGCCCTGCACTCCCCCCTTACCCCCTCAGTGGGATGGGGGAGAGAATCAGAAAAAAACCCAAACCACAACTCGTGAGTTGAGACAAAGATGGTTTAATAAGATAAACAGGAAGGATATAATGATAATATAAGAATATACAAAACAAGTGATGCACAATGCAATTGCTCACCACCCGCTAACCAATGCCCAGCCAGTCCCCGACCCATGGCGTCCTGCAACCAACTCCACCCAGTTTATATACTGAGCATGACATCATACGGTATGGAATATTCCTTTGGCCAGCTTTGGTCAGCTGTCCTGGCTGTGCCCCCACCCAGCTGGCAGGGTGTGAGGAGCTGAAAATTCCTTGACTGCTCAGTAATAACTAAAACAACGGTGTATTATCGACATTACTCACATTCTAAATGCAAAACACAGCACTATACTACGGGCTAGGAAGAAAATTAACTCTGTCCCAGCAAAAGACAGGTCATCCCTCCAGACCCACCCCCCCAGCAGCCCCCGGTGCCCTCTGGGCCCCTCAGTCACTGTTTTGGGGGGTGGGGGGCTGGGCAGCCACAGGCTTGGGTTGCTGTGGGTGCGCTGGTGAGCCAGCATGATTCCCTCATCCCGAAACCGCTTCTCACAGCCACTGCACTGGAAAGGCTTGGCCTCCATGTGGCCCCCAACAAGGGATGGACACGTCTCTTCCCACTGGCCACCCTCCGGCACCACTGGTGGGTCCTGGTGCACCCGCTGGTGGTTCTTCAGGTACTGATTCCGGCTGTAGGTCTTGCCGCACTTGCCACACTTGTAGGGCTTCTCACCAGTGTGGATGCGCTGGTGGATGCTGAGGGCCTTCTCGTCCCTGAATGCCTTGGGGCACTCGGCACAGGCGTAGGGACGCTCCCCAGTGTGTATGCGCCTGTGCCGCATCAGGTAGCCATTGCGACTGAAGCTCTTGCCACACTCGGAGCAGCCAAAGGGTCGGTCACCAATGTGGATATTCTGGTGGAGGATGAAGGTCTTCTTGGTGCAGAAGCCCTTGCCACATTCACCACAGATGAAAGGGCGCTCGCCACGGTGGATCTTCTGGTGGGTGATGAAGTTGGCCTTGCGGTTGAAGCTTCTGCCGCACTCGGTGCAGTTGAAGGGCTTCTCACTGCTGTGGACCCGCTGATGGGCAGTGAGGGTACTCTTCACACTGAAGGTCTTGGGGCAGCGGGTGCAGGCGAAGGGGCGCTCCCCGGTGTGGATGCGCTGGTGGCTGACAAGGTGGTGCTTATAGCTGAAGCGGTAGCCACAGGGGCTGGGCGGGGAAAATTGGTGTGAGCCAAAGCGCTTGCCGCAGTCGGCGCAGCTGAAGGGCCGCTCGCCTGTGTGGCTCCGCTCGTGCATGGTCAGCGCCGTCTGGGTCTTGAAGCTCTTGCCGCACTTGGGGCATGTGGGGGTCCTCTCCAGCAGCTGAGGTGCCGGGAAGCGGTGGAGATGGGGGTGCCCCAATAGGAGCCCCCGACTCCGATGTGGTCGGCTGAGGGCTGAGACCCCCCGCAGCCTGCCACATGGCTTGACCATCCCCAGGAGGAGGGTGGTGAGTGCCGACAGCCCCTCCGGGACCCCCTCAGCATGCCACTCTGTCCCGGGGCCACCGGCTGCTGGGAAAGAGAGGCCGGGGTCACTGCCAGCAATGGGATGGGCTCGTGGGACCCCTCCCCATGGAGAGCAGCATGAGTGTCCCATCAGCCCCCCACCCCCCCTGCCTGAAGGACACAGCTGACGGTTGGCAGCTGCCTGCACCATTGGATGGCAGAGAGACCTCACCGGACAGCACAGGGGCATGGAGCATCTAGGGCCAAGGGGACAATGCTGCTGGAACCCTCCAGCCCTCCCCATGCCCCACCCCAGTACCCGCCTGGCACAGCGGTCCAGTGCCTCCGCTGCGCCCCAGGGGAGTCTGGCACACACAGCATCTCTTCCTGCTCCATCTTGCAGATGATCTCTGGCTTGATGGTGCACCAGCCTGTCCGGGTCAGAGACAAAAGCACCCTCTCTTGCATTGCTGGGATAGCAGCACTGGCTCCTCCCTGCCCACGGCCCCAGCATCTCCCCTTGCTCTGCTCCTCTCTCCTGCCCCCCTTCCCTGTGCCTACAGCCTCCTCTTGCCTTGTCCTCATCACCTTGGCCGCTCTCCTGCAGACACAACACCTGGGAACGGCTCAAACCTGTGCCGGGGAGGTTTAGCCTGGACACGAGGATGCATTTCTTTACCGAGAGGGTGGTCAAACACTGCAACAGGCTTCCTGGAGAGGTGGTCGATGCCCCAAGCCTGACAGTGATTGAGAGGCGCTTGGACTGTGCCCTTAGTGACACGCTTTAACTTATGGCCAGCCCTGAAGTGGTCAGGGAGTTGGACCAGATGATCCTTGTATGTTCCTTCCAACTGAAGCAGTCCTATTCTATTCTATTCTATTCTATTCTATTCTATTCTATTCTATTCTATTCTATTCTATTCTATTCTATTCTATCCTATCCCATTCTATCCCATTCTGTTCTCTGTACCAGGACGGCTCTCCACAGGACGCTGCCTGGCAGGGTAACACCTGCCATCACAACAGCTACGTCAGGACTTGGCCAGTAACAG